TTTAAAAAACGAGAATTCTAATGTAAGACCTCCAATATGGCAGTGAAAGATATTAGAATCTTGGCTTATTGTTAAATAAGTGGCACAAATGTGGCTGTATCTGGGAGTGGATAGCAAGTAAGGTGCTTTGTCTCTGAGAAATTGAGTAGTGTGTCTCCCCTACCACTTTGTTAGGAATGAAGCGAATCAGGAATAAAAAGTTTTAAACTTTTTAATTATATTGGGATATTTTGGCCCCCCCCCAAACTAGATTCTTCATTATTGTGATTGAGTCACTAAGCTTACTTCTGATAAATTGTGGTCCATGAATAGAATCCCTCCCGACAACCCCAGACAGCCAAACTAGATCTCTCCTAGTAATCAGTACTGCTTTGGTTTGTGATGGTTGTTAGGGAGGTGGATGGATATAGCAGAATTCTTGGTATATTTCTCTGAATTTCCCTTTAAGTTCTGTTTTTCTTGAGTCCTGGAAGTGTTCATGCCACATTGTGTGGCATAGTAGCGTAGTAGCAAGATATATTAGCTATATTTTTATAAACTTTAGTGAGAAATATAAGTAATAATACTCTTCCCCCAACCCCTAATACTTTAGGTTGAATCCCAGGAGCACTGAGCTACATCCTCAGCTCTTTTCTGAGATAGGGTCTCACAAATCTGCCAAGGCTGACCTTGAACTTGAAATCCTTCTGCCTTGGCCTCGCAAGTAGATGAATTACAGATGTGTTCCACTGTGCCTGGCCACATTCCCATTTTGTACTGTGTTCTCCTCTTTTTTTTTTTCCCCTGATTATAAAAGCAATCATGCTTATTGTAAAAACTTTTTGGTATTTTTCATAATGAGGAAAATGTGTTATGGCCACTCAAGTTTTTTTCATGTAAACATTAGGAGGGATCTTAGTACTAGAAGTTTCTAATTTTCCTCACCTAGAATATGTATGAAGTCACCTACTCTAGTTAAACCAGACTTGGAATGAGAGTGAGTTCCTGGAGATAGCCCCAAACTTTATTTCTGCAGAGTTCTTTTCGTACTTCAGAGTGATAACTTTCAGGTAAATATTTAGAAGAAAACAAACTTGCAATTTTTTTTTTTTTTGCTGTGTAATTCAGGCTGGCCTTTATCTCATTAAGTAGCCTGGTCTGACCTCAAACTTGGGGCAATCCTCCTGCCTCAACCTCCCTAGTGCTGGGTTTATAAGTGTGTGCCACCACATCCGGCTTGTAATTTCTTAAAGGTATATAGTTAAATATAAAGTTATTTCACACTTACAATGTGTAAAAAATTTACTGGGATCTGTAGGAATATAAAGATAAGATGCAGCCTGTGACAGTGATGGTGACTTGACATTTTTGTTTGTTTTGAGATGGATCTCTTGTTTCCCAGGCAGGACTCAAATTTGTAAGCTCAATCCTCTGACTTCATTCTCTGAGTAGCTGGGACTGTTGGCATGTTTACTTAGTAACTACTTGAGTGTCTCCTTAAACTTTGGGACTAGGGAGATGGTTAAGAAAACAGCACATCACATTAAAAAGCACACAGTCTGGGTCTGGGGCATAGCTCAGTGGTATTGTGGTTGCCCAGCATGTGTGAAGCCCTGGGTGTGAACCCTAGTACTGCAATAACAACCCCCTCTCCTCCCTACTCTAATGGGAGTAGCAAACCATCAAATTTAAACAAAGTGCGGCTGTAACAAGTGCATAATGATTGTATTGTACAATATGCTGGGACACCAAAGATAATAAACTTCAGTCTTTGTTTCGGGATTGGCAGAAAAAAAACTGGGAAGGAAGAAGGAGATCAAGAAAGGCTTTCCAGAGCAGATGATAGACTAATTATATTGAGTAGAAGTTTTCTTGAGTGGGTGCTAAATAGTTGGAGGTGGAAGAGCACTGTTAGGATAAGGTGAGGATGGGATTTGAGACTGAATATGTGTTATGGAGGGTATAAGTGAGGATATGAGGTTGGAGAGTAGGAGGCAGATCATACAGACTGGTGTAGGATATGATTAAGAATTTTAATGTTTATATACTTTTAATGTACACTGGCAGCATTGCAGTTTTTAAAACATTGGATTGAGATGATTTGACCTCAGTTTAAAAGAGCTCTCACTGCTAGGCATGGTGGTGCATGCCTGTGATTCCAATTACTTGGGACACAGGCAGGAGGATCACAGATTTGAGGCCAACTTAGGAATTTATTGAGATGCTGTCTCAAAATAAAAAAAAGGACGAGGGTTGAAGCTCTATGCTCCCTGGGTTCAATCCCTACTGCTGCCCAAATAAAAGCCAAAAAAAACCCAAAAACAAGAACAACCCCCCCAACAACCCCCCCCCCCAATAAAACCAAAACCTTTTTTGAGTTTCTATGTGTGAAGAATTGAAGGAGTTAAGAGTGGAAGTGGGGACCCTAGTTATGAACTTGTGGTAGTCCGGTGAAAGAAAGTGGTGATGGTTTTGAAGTGGGAGGTCAAGAATATGAGGCTGATTTGAGAAATATTAAAAGGGAAAAACAACAGAACTTGATGTTGGATTCAGAATGAAAACAAGAGAGTCAGAATTGAATCCTAAGTTAATGGTGTATTCTCTAAGATGGTTAGGGCAGTGACGGTGAACCTTTTAGAGCTTTCAGTGATAATAAACAGCTGGCTGCAGCATGCGTGTCATACGTTTGCCACCACTGCAGTAGAGTTTATTGGGAGAGAAGCAGGTTGGATGAGAGGAGATATCTTTTTTTTTCCCTATTTTTTTTACTATTTATTTCAATGTCATAATTTTCTTTTATTTGACACAGAGGAGATCTTTTTTTTCAGGCTGGTCTTGAACTCACTATGTAACCCTTAAACTCATGATGATCCTCCTGCTTCAGCCTCCTGAGGGCTGGGACTACAGGTGTACTCCACCATGCCCAGCTGAAAGGAAATATTCTTAAGATCCTAATTGTTCAGGTTGAGATGTTAAATAAGTAGTTCCATATATGGTTTGGAATTCAAAGAAGTTTGAGTTGGAGATGTACATTTGGGAATAAGAATAAAGACAGTATTTAAAGACATGGTAGTTGATCACTCAGTATTTAAGTAATACTATTTTCTGTAATGCACAGCACAAATATATAAAAACATACTTATTTCTTGGACATATTATAATGCATTGTGTTGGGCAGCTTTCTGAGGCAGCTTCTCTCTGATTGGTGACTCTCTCGGCTGTTTCCATCTTATGATGCTGTCCCTTCAAGGATGTGACCTCAAAGTTGCCATTCACAGGAATGGGTGATCTCTTAGGGGACTTTATGGCCAGGCTTAATAGTGGTATAACTTCTTCCCATATAGTGGTGAGCAGAATCCAATCATATGGCTCTCATCCAAGTACAAGAGAAGCTGCAAAATGTACTCTTTTTATGTGCCCCAGAAGAAGAAAACAAATGGAATTGGCTTAACAGGATTTTTTCTGCTGTGGCAGTGGATAAGATGTTGCAGGTGGAGAATATAGAGAGTAGAGGAGAAGGCCTAGAATGGAGCCCCTAGAAGCCAGGCATTTGAAAGTCAGGTAAAGGATAAAAGAGGGGATAAAGAAATTGAGGCAGAATAGCTACAAGTTAGGGTTGGTGTTAGGCGAGTGGTAGACCCTGAAGGAGTCTGTATGACAAAGTTTTTCCAGAAGGAAGGGTTTGTCACTTAGAGAAATGGTCATCTTGTGTTAATGTACTAGAAAAGGTGGTAATCACATGGAAGTTGTTGGTGACTGTGGCTGTGGAGTCAGAAGCCAGGTTGGAATAAATTGAAGTTACTTGGTTGCAGGTCTCTTAGAAAGTTGATTGGATTGCTGAGGGATGGTTATATGTCCCAAGGCCCGCCTAAAGTAATTTCTACCTTTTGGATGGGGATTGAGTGGACTAGTGGCCCCAGCAGGGATGATTACAAGAGATGTGAGAGTGACTAGCTGACCTGAAGAAAAGCTGGGATTGGAACATGGAAGATGGAGGGTAACCTTCATTGATCCATCCAGTGTCATGGGTGGGCCTTAATCATCTCAGCAGATGCTGCTTTGATGAAAGCTTAATAATGCCCAATGACCAGGGCAGTGTTTTTTTGTTTTTTTTTTAAGACAGGGTCACACTCTCTAATCAGGCTGGCCTTGAATTCATTATGTGGCCCAGATAGGCTCAGCCTTCCAAGTGTGCACCACCATGTGTGGCCATTGTGTTCATTTTACTAGAAGCCAGTGAAGACAAAAATGTGGTGTACAAAATGGCAGTTGTCTACCCCTGCACCATGCCACAGTTTCTACCTCCCAGGAATGGAATCACCTCTAGAAGGAGGGAAAGTAAAAGGAATGAGGGAAGAGAATTCTGATTGACAGTGGGCTGCCTTGAATGGTAGTGCAAAAGCTAAATTAGGTACTGTCTTGAAGAAGTAAAGTCATTACAGTTTTTGCCTATACGTACACGTAGGTGAATTGAAGGTATGGAAGTAACTCTCACTGTGTTTCCTAGGATGGTCTTGAACTCTTGGAGTCAGGTGGACCTCCTCTCTCAGCCTCCTGAGTGTGTGTGCCACCACTCCTGGCTTTTGGTCTTTTATTGATTGTCAATTTCTAGAATTCATTACATTCTTAAAAGCTCCAAGGCAGGACTTACCATTTATTTAATTTTTTATTTTTTACTGTACTGGGAATTGAACTTAGGACCTTCACACTGAGCCGCAACCCGAGTTCTATTTATTTCTTTCTCATTTTGAGACAGGGGTTTGGTAAGTTGCTAAGTTGCCCAAGCTAAGCTGAACTTTTGATCCTTCTGCCTCAGTGTTGCAGAGAGCTGGGTATACAAGTGTGCAGCACCATGCCTGGCTAGGACCTTTACAAAGTACCATTTAGATTGAGAGTATTTCGTGAACAGCTGTATTTATAGATTATATTTCCATTTGTGATTTTGATAATTTCTAACTATAGAGTTTTAGTCTGAAATATTTTCTTTAATAAACATTATTACCTGTTTTACTGTTGTTTAGGAAGATTCTTACCTCTGAAGACAATGCTGGGACCAAGATATGATAGTCAAGTTGCTGAAGAAAATCGGTTCCATCCCAGTATGCTCTCAAATTATTTAAAGAGTTTAAAGGTAAGAAGCAAAAAACTTTTTTTTTTTTGGCTACTGGTTTAATTTTGTTCTATAAATGGTTTTTAAAAAGTTTTGCAGTAATTATTAGGGGAAGTTGCAAAAATTGCATGTGTAGTTCTAGGAATTCTTCCCCTAGCTTCTCGTAGTGGTGGCATTTTATATAATTGAAGGATAATATCATATACAGAAAATTGACATTGGTACAATATTCTTAACTAGATTTCAGCATTAATTTTTATATACATTTATCTATGTGTACATGTTTAAATTTCTGGTGGTGGCTGTAGAAATCCTTCATAGAGGAACTCCCTCATGTTATCCATTTATATAAAAAAAGTAGCCATTTATCCTCTAAACCTTTGTGTCTAGCAGTATCCAGTATTTGAAGAAATCAGTAGCGGTAGCATCAGGTGTTGTGGAACTTGCCTCTAGTCTCAGCTGTTTGGAAGGCTGAGGCAGGACAATCACTTCAGCCCAGAAGTTCAAGTGGGCAATATATTGAGGCCCTGTAAAATCAGTCAGTAGAACTCATTATGAGAGGTAGAAGTGTGTATTTGAGAATGATGATTGTTTATTTTGTGATGTGTGAAATTTAAATGTTTTTGCCATTTCTCCCCTGTAACAGTGGAGACTAATCATTATGTAGACCAGTCTTCCTTAGGCAAGCCCGACAATAAGTTCTTAATAAGCAATGAGAGAGAGAGAGAGAGAGAGAGAGAGACAAAGAGAGACAGAGACACAGAGAGAGACAGAGACAGAGACAGAGACCCCGTGATTTAAAAAGTATAGATCATTGTGTTTGTGGTTTAGTCCAGAGAGTATGGATGTTTTGTGTGTGTCAGAATGTGGTAAAAGGTTAGTGAAGCAACTGTTCTTTTGTTTGGGCTCAGTTCAGGCATGAATTTCTTAGTGAGACTATCTTATTAGGCTGTATGTGATTCTAATTTTGTGTGTGTGTGTGTGTGTGTGTGTGTGTGTGTGTGTGTGGAACTGGGGATCAAACTCAGGACCTTGCGCTTGCGAGGCAGGTGCGGTACCACTGAGCTGCATCCCTGGCCCTGTGGTTCTAAATTTTAAAGATATTTCATACCACCTGGCCCCTGGATACAAATGACTTCAGTTAGTGTTTAACAGAAAAATACTGACTTTTGTTGCAACCTAGGAAGAAAAACTAAAAAACTGGGTGTGATTGATTTATTGAGCAAGGAAATTAAGTCTCTAGTGAGATATACAAATATGGCCAAGTATCTTTCTTTTTTTTTTGGTGGTATTGGGAACTGAACTCAGCACCTTTGGACTGAACTATATCCCCAGCCCTTTTTTTATTTTTTACTTTGAGACAAGATCTTGTGAAGTTGCTACATTGCCCAGGCTGGGCTCAAACTTGTGATCCTCCTGCCTCAGCCTCCCAGAGTGCTGGGCTTACAGGTATGCACCACCATGCCTGGCTTGTATATTGTTATTTATTGGTTATATATAGTAGTTCAGGCTGGACTTGAATTTACTGTGTAGCCCAAGTTGGCCTCAAATTTGCCATCCTCCTCCCTCAGCCTCTTGAGTTTATAGGCGTGTGTCACCACATTTGGCTCTATATACTTTTTTACCCTGTACAATTATTTTAAACTTTAACTGCTTAAGATGTGATTCTATTACAATGATTTCTATTTTGTAATAAAAAATATACAATACATCCACTTGTTTCAGAATCCCAGTTTAAAAAGCTGAGGTGGTGAAGTCTGCCTCCTCTTTTGTCCGCAATAGGCCTAGTTGCAATGAAGACACATTGGCTTTTTTTCCTTCCATAGCTCATACTTCACTGTTTTGCATATAGTTTGTCTGGTTTCTTCCAGTTTCCTTAGCGCTAGCTCTGTCACTTTAGCTTGAGCTCTTGGAGCTGGGCATGGTGTTGCATGCCTGTAATCCTTGCTATTCAGGAAGCTGAGGCAGGATGATTACAAATTTGAGGCTCACTTGGGCAACTTAGTGAGACCCTGTCTCAAAAAAAATTAGGTTGTATGATTTCTTATAGGAAATTATTTCTGTTGGCAGTTTTAAAACTCTGCTACCTCTGGATGTGTTTCTCTTTCTTCCTTTTCACAAAGCTTCTGCAGTCCTCTTAGTTCCTTTGGCAGGATTTAGATATTTTTAATACACATACAGATCTCATATGCTTCTTTTTTTTTGATACTGGGGATCGAACTTGGGACCTTGTCCTATCGAGGCAGGCGATGGAACCACTGAGCTAAATCCCCAGCCCGCATATGCTTTTTATTTTCATTGAAAATGAAGTTGGGTTTTTTCTTTTTCTATTTCTTTCTTTCTTTTTAAATCATTACCTTGTGTTCTATGATATCCAGAAAGATAAGGAAATTGCTTTCTTATACACCCTACAAGTCTCTCTTCATTTTTAACTTGGCTAATTTTAGAAGTGTATTAGCTTTAGACTTTAATGTATTTTCAGAAAACAGACAGAATGGCTGTTAATCAGAAAGATAGAAAGGGGAGCACACACATATCCTTTTGTGGTGTAAATGGCTTGTGTTATATTTTCAGTGTGTGATATAGTGTGTGGTATAGTCGGTAGATATGAGTAGAGTGACAGTGGTGGGTTTTGGGATGCTGGGGCGATATGCTCCTGCACTAGAGCCGTGTGTATTTCATACTCATGCTGTGTCTGTTCTCGGCTCTTGTCTAATAGATCACAGGTGCAGAGATAGATGATGAAAACTATGGCACTGTTTTAATTTTTGAGTAGACTCGTGATATTGAGAATGGCATGTTTTGCTTATTTTCCTGTTCTTTCATTGGTTTAGGCATTATTTTACTGAGTACCTGCTTAGTTCTGTTACCTCAAATAAGCCTTGAATAATGGTACTTCTAGTGTCAGTTGTTCAGTGGCAGAGTGAACATATCTCCATGAGGATGAATAAACCATAGTATTTCCATTTAGTTAACTTGATTTTGAATAAATTCAGTTACTAGTAAATTTTTTTTTTTTTTTTAAAGGTTAAAATGAGTTTGTTGGTAGATTTGACAAATACGTCAAGGTTCTATGACAGACATGACATAGAAAAAGAAGGAATCAAATATATAAAACTTCAGTGTAAAGGGTAAGTTATATGTTGTCTCTTTTTTGAAACCTTTCATTGAAATTTGTAATCTTTTTATTAAAATTTTTTTCTCCATATTATTAGACATGGTGAATGCCCTACAACTGAGAATACTGAGACGTTCATTCGTCTCTGTGAGCGGTTTAATGAAAGAAACCCACCTGAACTTATAGGTATGTTTGGCTTTACCCCTATTGAACATTTTATTTGTCATTTTAATTGCTGTTCTTTTTTGCAAGTGGGCTCATAGGGAATTTTTTTTCTCTTTTAAGTAATCACCAAGTGGTATTAAAGTAAGTAACTTTTGTTATATAATAAATTATTTTCATATTTTTTGAGATAAAGCCCTAATCATTCCTCTTTAGGTATAATGTTAGGAAAACTATCAATTAAAAATTTTGTTTATTTATTTATTTGTTTGAGACAGCCTCACTATGTAGTCCAAGCCGGCTTTGAAGTAGAGATCCTCCTGCCCTAGCCCTTCTGAGTGCTGAGATTACAAGAGTATGCCACAATGCCCAGCTTCAATCTTAATTACTACTTTTTTTGTTAATATACATTTTATACTTTGTGTGTTCCCCTGTAACTTTCTCGTTTCTTTCAGTATATTTCTGAGAGTGATCCATGTTGATGTGTGTAACTATAGTTCATTTTGCTGCTGTATAAGTATTCTGATTTATGAATATACTACATTTTGTCTACTCTCCAGTGGATAGACAGTTCCTTAAGCAAATATTTATTGATTGCTATTTTGTGCCAGGCATGAGCTCTTGGAACACATCAGTCAAGAAAACATAAAAAATGTCCTAGCTGCCAGCTGCGGTGGCACATGCCTATAATCTTAGCACTCAGGAGGCTGAGGCAGGAGGATCTTGTTCAGGGTTGGACTGCGCTACATAGGGAGGTCAGGACTAGCCTGAACCACAGAGTGAGACCATATCTCAGAGAAAACTGAACAAACAAAAAGAGACCCTGCTTTTGTGCAGCTTGATTTTTAATGTGATCTGGGGGTGGGGGAGCCAGTTAATCAATAATAATAATAAGCAACTTTCCTAAAATGACAGTTGCTTAAAAATGACATTTGAGTTATTAGTTTTTAAAAAATTTTTGTCATTATAAAAATTCTGCTAGGAATGGTCTAGGATTTTCAAGATTTGGTCTTTATTTTTTTGTTTTTTTCTGGTATTTATGTTGGCATATGGTTTAAATTGGGGCTCTAATTTAGATGTTTTCTATATAGCCAATCATTTATTAGCATTTTTTGAATCATTCTCTTCTGATGGCTAAATGATGTAAATTAACTTTGAAAAGTCTTCTGATTCATTTGCCTTTTAATTTTTAAGTTTTTCCCCATTTGGAGAGTAACTGAAAAACTATTAGTAAGAAAGTTCAGGGGACATATTGACACAAGATAAATATGAAAACATCAACAACTTTCCTACAGGTACTGTGTAGGAAACTATTTCCTTTTTTTTTTGTTTTGGTACCAGGGATCGAACTTGGGACCTTGCACTTGTGAGGCAGGCAGCAGAACCACTGAGCTAAATCCCTGGCCTAGTAGGGAACTATTTAGAAACTGTGTTTGGAGAACAGTCTCATTAACCTTAATATTGGCTAACATCTATTGAATGTTACTTCTCTGCTCGTCTCTGTATAAAAGGTTTTGTATACTTGTCTCATTTTATTTTCATAACAATCCTGTTAGTATGTATTATTGTCACCCCATTTTGTAATAAATTAAGGCAAGGAAAGGGCAAGTGACTTGCTCAGTGTTACACAGCTAGTAAGGGTTAGAGTTTGGATTAGGTCCTACACTATCTCAGTTGAGAAATCATTTTTTAAACTATAACAGGAGTACAAAACACCAGGGAATAAAGTTAATAAGAAATGTAGGTGGTCTTTATGAATTGAACATACTTAATGTTAGAATAAAGACTTAAAGAAATGGAGAGATACTACTGGTTTCCACATCAGTTTCAAAATTTTATGTAATTTCTAGAATGATCTTGACAAGATTATGTTAGAATGACTATAAATTAATTTGTGTTTGTAAAATTCACTGCCTATGTTAAATCATTAAATAGTAATTGAGCACAGAAAGAAATGGGAAATTAAACAACCAAGATTATGAACAACAAAATTTGAACAACCAAAATAATGAGGGGATTTTTTTTTTTTTTTTACTAGTTATAAAAACATATAGGTAAGCAGTGGCAGCCAAAGTAGTATTTCCTGGTGATAAAGTTGTTTTTCAAATCAGAAGGGACAGGTATGATTATTCAGCAAATAATATTCAGGGATTTGACCAGTCATTTAATAAATTTTGGATGGATTAAATATTTTAAAAATAGAGTCAATTTTTTGTGGGGGTACTGGGGAATGAACCCAGAGCCTTCACACTGAGCTACATCCCTGTCCTGTTTCCCCTACCTCCTTTAAAAAGTTTTTGAGACAGGGTCTCACTAAATTGCTAAGTTGCCCAGGCAGAGCTTGAATTTGTGGTCTTCCTGCCTCAGCCTCCCAGAATGCTGGAATTACAGGTGTGTGCCACCATTCTCAGCTATTTTTAAAATTTTAGTATATGGAAGGATATTCCAAGTATGTCATTGAAAGCAGAACCCATAAACAAGCATTTTTTAGGAGCCTTCCTGGACCGTCTTAAGTCAGAATCTCCTAAGGATACCTGTCAGTGTACTAGGACTTTATCCTGGACCTACATAATTAAATCCTTGGGAATGAAGCCTAGGAATCTAGATTTTTAAAATAAAGGTCTCAGGTGATTTTTGTGCACCCTTAACTTTGAGAACTGCTGTTAAATTTGAGATGTGGTGGCTGTTAATGATTGTAGTAACAGCTACTATTAACGAACAAATTTCTGTATTCTTAAACACAACAGAAGTAAGGTAGAAACATGACAAATTGGGAAAAATACTTGAAGCATAAATGACAGATTAAAAAGTCAATATACTTATATGCAAACATATCTTATAAACTAAACTAACAGGTGCAAGAGCCCTCAATAGAAAAAGATGGAAAACAATGAAAAAGCAATTTACGGAAGAAATACAAATAGCCAAGAGACATGAAAAAAACTTCAGTCTTACTTGTTAACAAGAGATGCAATTAAAAATACATGTTGTTGGGCCAGGGATTTAGCTCAGTGGTTCTGGCTCCTGCTGCGCAAGTACAAGGTCCCGAGTTTGATCCCTGGTACCAAAAACAAACAAACAAACAAACAAAATATATATATATGTTATCTCTTCTCCGCATAAAACTGGTGAAGATATAAAAAATTAAAATTCCATCATTGTCAAGGTTGGATAAAATGGGTACACTTATATATTAGAGTGCTAATTGGTATAGCTGTTCTGGAGGAACAACTTGCTAATATTTCTCATTTTTTTTTTTTTTTTTTCCCCTATATAGAAATTGAATTTAGGGCCTTGGCCCAGGGATG